TTTTTTTTTTTTTTTTTTTTTTTTTTTTTTTTTTACCTGATCAAGAATCCTGCCCATTCTTTCAAACAGGACTTTCAAGAAGTGCCCTTCAAAAAAGGATGCTTCTAAATTGCACTTTTCCAAAGATCTGGGAGATCCAGGCCACTCCCATCGCAAGCAGATGGCACAGTAATCCCGGAACTAGAAAAATAAAGTAGGTAGGAAAACATATTCAAACATTTACTGCATAATACACAGAGGGCAGAAAAAAAGATACCAACCTCCATGGATATCATGTAATTTCCTTTTAATAACCTCCATAAGACTATAAACTGTAGCTCTCTGAGCAGTCTGAGCTCAGAAGGAACAGTCATGCTAAAAGAAACATCATCAGTTTGTGCTGGCACTTCCTTTTCTTCTGGACATTCACACGCTTGAGGGGATTTCATAAACACAGCAAGTGGACAACAGAGCTCCAAAAAGCAACCCGGACTCAGACATAAAGCCACCATCACATACATCCTCATCAGGATTTTTTTTTAAAGCAGGGATTGCCTTCGTATATGGTGTGGTTGTAAATAAGTTAATATTTTTAATCCTAGAACATGCAGCTTATCTGCTCAAAGTAAAAATACGGAATGCAGGAATAAACCACAGCAAAAGACAGTGAGACAGACTCAGAAATTCTTCCCTGCGTGCAGCTTCCTATTGTGCAGGCTTTCAGGAATGTGTAAACTGAATAGTTATTTCAATGTAATAACAGCAATAGGCAAGGCAATTCTTAGGGGAAAATATTTTAAGAGTAGCCATATCATTGTCAGAAAGTGGCAGAAACCAATTCTGTTCTCTAATAACTCCCAGAATACTCTTCTCCCTAAGGCACGAAAGAAATACCAAAGTGATATGAGTCTTCTGGCATCCTAGAACAGAACATTAGGGAATTTCACATGAACTTTTGTTCCCTTATTCTCTGCTTTCTATTCCCTTCCTTTTCAGGGAAGGCTACAGGTAAAACTATGTAACAACTGCAGAAATCAAAGCTTCCTATTTCAAACAGCTCACTTCATAACTCAAATTACGGACCTTTCCAAATATCTACTAAATAGTTCCTGTTATCCTTGAGCTTTATGGGATTTTTTTCCCCTCTTATAGGAGATTCCCAGGGTCTCATTAGGAAAGCTGCAAATAAACAATTGTCCTCTGACCAAGGAGACTTTAGATTGCACTTGCAAAAACAAAACCTGCATTTATTTCAAAAGAGTAAAGCATAAAGTTTTCCCAGCAGAATTTTCAACTTCAAACCTGAATGCCTTAGGCTGCATATTTCCTGTGATGAGCCTTTATTTTTAAAGCCCCAGATTGCATAACTCCTATGCAGCAGTTTAATTTCCCTTCAGTCCTTTCAAACAGCTTGGCAGGCAATTCTCCAAGAGAATGCAGATAAATGAAAAAGCAAATTAAGAACCTAGGTGCAGTTCAAATTTTCTCTCAGTGTGTTTGTTACGTAAATGTTAATGCATTTAATGCCATCTATTATTCCTGCTAGAATAACAGAGGGTAGATTCACCCTCAAACTCTCCAAAGACAAGATTCTGCAAGAAAATTAAAATTGTATTTTTTGTTTTTCATTACTAAAATCACACATAGCAGGACTACTTATAGAACCACTTGTACATTCTCATAAACATTTCAAATTCTCAAAGACTGATTAAAGAAGATTTCTGTGACTTACTTGTCTGTGGGCATCTCTGAGGTAAGTGTCATAACCTGTACCCTCCACGTGGTACGACGACTTTGCTTCATCAGGTACAAGACAGAGAAAACTAAGAAAAGATAGAAGTAAATTAACATTTATCTACAAGTCATGGAGCAGCAGGTCAATACTTTTCCACCATCTATAACAGTGGCCACAGTACTAAATCAGATGCCCAATTAATGAAAGCATTTTACTATAACTTCATGTGAAGAGACAACAAAATCCACTTATGCAAGTCTGTTCTAACTACTGTTTGCAATAACAACATATATACTTTAGAATTTGTCTATCTGACCCTAGAGGTAGAAACGTCAGTGGGATGCTAGCAGTTTCTGAAAAGGAGCAGACAAAAATGGAGATGAAAAGGAATAGTGATGACCAGTACAGATATTTACTAAAGGTCAGACTCCATCTTACCAGAGCAGATGGAAAGTTTACTGGCAAATCAGGGAGCCAAATAAGGAGGAGGATTATACTTGACATTCTTCCTATCCTATTGCCTGGGCACTTAGTTGCTACAGTTTTATTTGACATGTGGCAATGAACACCCGGGAGCACACAGGAATATTTGTCCCGGTTAGTGCCTTTATCAGATATGTACTTAAATACTGTATGCTCTTATTATTTCACTGATATTTCGCCTAAGTATCACCAGGCAATTCTAAATTTTATTAGAGGAATCCCCTCCAACTAAAAATAAATACAGAGAATCAAAATTCTGGACACCAAAAGACCATTCAACTTTTGGAGCCTCTTTCCAAAATTCAGCTTTCTCCACACATCAGGAACTGCTGAGGCTCCTGAAAGGTTTTATATAGAGACTGAGAACTATGGAGTAGTTGAGTTTTCTTAGGAAGCTCGTATTACCTGAAAAAATATATTTGCAATACACTGCAAATCCTGAGAACATTTCCATTCCCTGACAGAGGGGATGAATTTTGGGGACTGCTCTTTTTGTCTTTTCTCCAAATTATGTCCACCATAAATTATAAGCTATGCCAAAAAAAGCGAGGGCAAGAAATGACTAGTCAGTCCTAGGGCTGTTTGCTCCATGGCTGATTATTTCTGGTTAAGTAGGTAGGTCAGCAAAGCCAGACCAGGGCTGCTTTGCTGGCTTTTATTAACAGAGCAAAGAGCATCTGTCCTTGTATTAGTAGCTAAGAGAATTACCATCGCTAAGTTGCTTAGAGCAGAGAGACTCTCCCCTTTGTGGTATGCAGTTTGCAGAATGGCTTACATGCACACACGCATGTGATGGAGGTGCCACTTGTGCTTTTGGGAACACAAGGTTCTCTCTAGCTTGGCAATTATTTCATTTTAAGCACATGTTTAAGGAAGCAAGTATTTTTCCCCTAAAAAGCATGGCAACAGTCCCCAGACCTCTGCAGGAAGGTCAAGCCCCATATAAGAGTAATTTAAACTTAGCAAATCTTTTGAGAATAGAGTGTTTTGTACTCAGTTAGGCTTTCATCCACAAGTATGAGTAATAGATTGAAATATCTGTAAAGTCTTCCCATTTTTCTGTTTCATGTTGAATTCTTACTTATAGTAAGCTCTAATCCTTTAGGAGTAGTTTTCCAGTAAAAGGCCACAATTTTCTCCTGGGGAGACACTCTGCCAGCTGGCAGAGCATAACAGACCTACACCCATTGCAGCGTTCATTTAATTCACATAGTGTGTGCAGAGACCCCACATTCAGAGATTTTTCTCCACTTGCTGAAACTCACCTATTTACAATTTTATGTACTTCAGTTTTCCCATCACTCTTTGGGTGTTCAGGACTGACAGGTGGAGAAGCACTGAGCCACTCCTGAGCTGACAACATGTTGTCTGGAGACAGATCAGTAAATAACGGATCTTCCTCTAGGTCCCTGTGAGATTAATAGACAGAAGGTTATGGAAAGTGAGAAACTCTTTTGGACCAAAAGAGATACTTTCTATTTTTTCCTCTGAAAAATAGCATTTTTTTAGAACATTAATATGTACAGCTTTCCACTAATATGCACAAATATCAACCTTTACAAATACTTTTCAAACTTTGTTTTATTTTTGAAGAAACTTCATAACTTTTTGATCTGAATAGCAGAGCTGGACATTTCCTGCTGGTTCCAAATCACTGTGCTAAATCACATTCTCTAGCCAAGTTTTCCACGTGAGAGAGATTTCTACTCAAGGAAATCATTAGTTTTCAAATGACTCATAAACATCTAAATTAAGAAGCCTAAAATAGCTTGCGTAGCTGGTCCTTACAGCTCCCTTCAGTAAAAAAAATGTGAAGTGTTTCATCCAAAAATATGATTCAAGAACATTGACATGAGCGAGACACCCAAGTGACTGATTTCTCACTGAAATCAATACATACATGCACTCAAGCTAGGAAGATGCCTAAGTTACTAAATCAAGAGCTTCTATTGTTTAGAAAAGAGGGTTTTGTTAATTTTAGCTCTTGTTACTGTTCTAACAGTTTCCTTAAGTTGCTGATGGAAAAATTTGCACGTCATTATAGAGGCTCATTATGTTTCTAGACTAACAAACAAAACACTCGATGACACGCTGTGCTCCCTTTTCTATCAATTAATGAAAGAAGAGACTGCTGTTTAAAATGTAAGAATCCAAGTTAGCTGGTGTGAAAACTTTTCTTAAAGAAACTTACACTGCTCCTGCGATCTGTCCATTTTCTATAACATCTTTATCTTCTTGGCAGAGAGGCTTGTATTCCATATAGTTTCTTTCTTCTAAATTTCTCAGAACCAAGTTATAAAGAATGTGCTCATGGGGTTTTTGCAAAAGGTGCTCAAACATTCGTAAAGTCATTATACTGATCTGCAATGTCAAGAGTAAAATCTCAGTGAGCTTCTGCACAGTTGCCTTATGCTATTTGTCTTCTATCTGTGTTTGTACTTCGTAGAACTTTGCTATTATTTAACTACACTATAATAGAAACCAAAATACCCGGACAGAACTAGAAAATTACTATGCTGAGGGTGGTATATAGGCATTACTCCATATGCACTTGAAAATTAGTACACGAATGTATCATTTTCCTATAATATCATACAGTACAGCTCTATAACAGAAGAGCTTCATAAAACCTGCCAGAATAACACAAAGAATGAAAGAACTCACAATTTAGCCTTGCCTATCACAAACCCATCCTTGATGGAAAATGGTTAGCACTGTGCAAGCCAAGGTTTAAAGGATGTAATAAACATCCAGAATAAAAAAATAACATTGGGATGTTATGGCTAGAATTAGATGCTAATATTTTTATACAGAGATACTAGGCGGGCTTTTTAAAAGGGCCTGACTTTAAGCAATACAGGGTCGTTTTACAGAGAGATTGAGAATTCTCAGCATGGCAAAGATAAGGTAATTTATATAGTTATCCTATTCTGAAAGGGTGAGCAGACTGAAGAAAAGGGACATGCCAAGGTATAGATCCATATTTCAGACTGGCTTGGGGATTTTTTGAGAAAGGAGAGGGGGGCAACTATTCCATGGAAAGACTGGTTACATAAGCAGGTCCCTAGCAGGGATTTCACTCAGTTCAACTACTTTAACAAGGTGTGTAAGTGCTCAAAGTTACTACATTATCTTTCAATTGGCACTTTGTATATTTTCTAGTCAAACCTACTTTATGTAATTAAAAAAAATTATCTACCCCTCAAGCTGCAATATCATAAAACTGACACAAGGAAAACAACAGTGATGCAATGTATAATATAACATACTGTCAATTAAAATGCAATTACACAGACTGATTTGGCCATCTTTTACAGATGGGCAAGATCAGATAGGCACGCATAGGGTCAAGCAAATTTCACAAAGAATCTTCACTGCCAAAAAACACCCTACTTGTTCCATAAAACAGTTTGATTGATAACAGCTGGATAAACAGTTTGATAAAGCAGCTGAGAAAAATGAGATGAGCACAATGGCAGTTTGGTGGTTTGGTTTTGCGTCTGCCCAGCAGCCGTTCTGCCATTTTCACTTCTCACCTCATCAGAAATATGATCACAGTGCTCGATTAACCTGTGTCGCAATGGATGTCTGTTGATGTCCGTCAAAGTCTCTGGCTCTCTGTGCTCTCCAAGTATAAAATAAACCATTTCCTGCAGCAGGACATCCGAAGTCACCTGACGAACAATGCGATGCAATAGTGCAGTGGATGTGAGGATTCCCATCTCTGAGCTGAATGATAAATTCATAATATTAGATATACACTGGCTTGCAACTGAAAAATACCTGCTTGATTCAGATTCTGCTCTGCTGCTGTTTCTTGGGGAAAGATGCTACTCACGTTTGCATCAGCTGGGGTTCCATAACACCAACAAAAAACCGCTCCCGCACAGCTTTTGCCATAGCAACTGCAGCAGTCTGAAACAAAAATACAAAGTGCTTGGTCTCACACTGAACACCTAGGAAATAACTTGAGCTATTTACTTTCTAAATATGTTTGTATACTGTATAAACATTTCAAACCTTTTGTGCTTCTTTAATAAGTTGATCACAGTAGTCAAACCACGAAAGAAATGAAATCAGGGCTCTTTTCCCTGGAAAAGCGGATGCATCTTCTTTGTGACTATAGGAATCCAAACTGCATAACACAAAGAAATATTATTCAGTCTATTTAGGATTATCTGAAGAACTCTGGATGCTCTTTTTATTAAACTTAACAGCACAATCCATGATCTACCCACAATGAAGTGAACATTAGAATAGCTTTTCTGCACACAGAGGCTTCCGATGGCACATTCAAGAATATAGAGCACATCCAGCAGAAGAATTCTGCATGGATATGCTTAAACTATTTCGTAACTCAGAAGGGAGTACTGATCATCTTGGCTTTTCTCTGAAGAAAGAGACCACAGAAACGATTCAGTAACTCCTGTAGCTACAGAAGCATAGAGGGAATTGCTCTTCTTTACTCTGTGTCAATCAAGACCAACAAAACCACACAGCATATACCTGAACTAGACTGTACTGTTCACAAAAGCCTAGAAAAAAATCTAAGAAACTATTATTTGCTAATCTGGTGTAATAATTATTTTTATCACTGTTAAGTTGTACCTTTTTGTTTCTAAAAAGCACCAGAAGCTTTTCACCAGAACTAAAAATTAAAATACTCTTTGCAAATATCTGCTTTTTGTCTTAGTGCTAAAAGATTGTGATGAATTCAAAATAATGAAGGCAGAGTAGGGAAGAGTATTTAAACATATTTAGAATATATCATACAAGCAGTTTGGATGATAGGCCCAGTATCTTTAGCTTTGTGCTGATGAGCTATGCCATAAAACTTCTCTGCTGCTTCACTGCTGCAGAAAGTCTGCTATCAAATGCATCCTTCCTGTCATTCCTCGTAGCTTAGAGCTCTGTGGTCACTGTTCCCAGTGAAAGGCTTATGCACATATTTCTGATATTCTTGAGATACAAATAGGAAAATAATCTGTGTGTGCGTGAGATAAGCTGTATCAGCACAAATTGCTAACATAATTCAGTGGAAAACCTTGCTTCTTGAGGAATCTCTGCAGTGGACTGGTGGTCAAACCTGACAATGTCAAAAATAATGAATCCATTGGATGTCTGAAGTCTTATGATTCTGATTAATATCTAAACTGTGCTCTTGAAACTTTGGTGTGGGCATGTAAATATATTTTACACCTTACTCAGCTACAAAAAATGAATATCAAGGAGAGGTGTAAAATTTCCTCAGGTATTAAATACACAAGTAGATTCTTACCCCCAGTTGATTGCCTCCACTGTTTCAATGTCCAAGGGATCCAGTGACTGAGGCAGGGCTCTGTAGAGGGCGGCCAGCCTGTCGGTCAGCAGCTCACACAAGCAGGTGCTCTGCGTGAGGCACTTGGCTGCTGCTGGCTCCGGCAGGCTCACCAGGAGCATGAGGCCCTCGCAGGCCTTCACTGCTATCCGGCCGTCCTGGCAGCAGGGGAAATGCATCAGAAGGTGAACTAAGCTCACTTAAAATCAAGAAGCAAATATGTCCCGAATGAAACCTCTTCCCTCCTCCTCCACCCCTAAGGTGAATTTCCTCTTGCTTCTTTATTCAACCACTATAAGTTATTTCTCCTGAAATTGGATGGTAGGAAATAAAAAACTACATCACAAACCACCGCAAACACTAAGAAAGTAACTGCTACCTTAAGGCACATGGCCCGAACGCTGTAGGTCAGATTACGACCAAGACATTAGACAAATAATGTCAAGCTATCACTTAACAATTACAAGGTGTATATATACACATAATGTGCACACACATACACTGCCTCTCCCTGCTTCACACAATATTCACTATATCAGATTACAGAGGAAAAAACTCACCGGACTTTTAGTGAGATTCAGCAGAGAATTCACTAGGTTATAGTCTTGATTCGGATCAGGAGCTGAGGAGTCGGGCGGCGCGGCGCCGCTCAGCTCGTGCAGACGGAAGGGCAGCTCGTCCGCCTGCTGAGGGAGGCCGTCCTGGTGCTCCTGCTCCGCCTGCTGGGCTCCGGCCGAGGTGCCCGCTGCTGCCTCCGCGTGCCCGGGCCGCCCCGCGTCGGTGTGCCCAGGCTGCCCCACGTCAGCAGCCACCGCGTCCCCGCCAAGCGGCGCCTCCTCCGCGACGGCGCTCGCTGACCCTCCCGAAGCCAGGGCTCTCAGCTTGTTCTGAAAGGCATTTGGTGGCAGTCAGGCCGTGCAAAGGAATTCACTCTAAAGCAGAAACTCCCCAGAAGGAAGTTTTGTACAGTGAGGTTTGAAGCGGTTCTCTACAAGGCTGGATGCAGTAACAACATAACCGACAGTAACTGGCTGCAAAGGCAGGCGAGCTGCTGCTTCTGAACCTGCTTTACTCTTTCCTCAAGTCCTAACCCATTTGGATCAAGGCCAAATCCACCATTCACAAGGAGGTGGCACCATTTTACCTCCACCAGTGGAGACACCATTCACTTGGTTTGTCTGGTACCTGATACAAATTTTTCCTTTTCCTTATGAGGGCATCTTCTGCCTCTTGCACACACCACAAAATATTTCTTTACTCAAAAAGGTCTCAAATTCTTTTAACCTCTGAAATGCTGTTCCAAGTTGGAATCACACAGTGACACTCACGCTTAACTTCTGAAGATTTTACTTTCAAAAGGAATGGGGAAAGGGGAAAAAGTTGCTTTTATGACAGCAGGATAACGCTGTAAGCACTGGCTACAGTAACACATCTTGAGAACCTTCTCAGATGTTGCAAAGCATCTCAACTTAACCTCAAAGCAAAAAATCTATTCATCTTTCTGCTAAATGAACCTGACTCCAGCACATGGAGACATTTACACTTGTGCCCCGCAAGACCAAGAAGAAACAGTAATTCTCTGTTCTCCCAGCACAAGCACAGGTGAACCAGGCTGTGTTAGCATCATAAATTTGACTTCAGCACAAGACCTGTTCTTCAAGCAGATACAGCAGTGAGTTTAAAACTCCAAGGCGTTTCCCTTCCCTGCAGTGACACAGCAGCTGTTGGGAACACAGAGCTCACGGGGTGGCAGCTTCTCAGCATCACCATTGGGGTTAGCAGTGTTTAGTGCACACAGACAGCAGGGACGAACCACCTCAGGAGCAAGCAGCACAACTGCTGCGACCACGTGCCCACGAGACACATGTTCTGTGAGGAGGAGCTGCACTGGGCACTACAATACTAGCGTCCCCGAGAGGCAACCCGCTGGGGTAAAGCAGCATGCTGAAAATGAGTACCAATTCTGACTACAGGAGAAGATGCATTCCCTGAACCTTCTCCTCCTATGCATCTTATTGATACACGGGTACAGCTGGAGCAGAGCTGTAACACTGCAGATTGCAGATGCAGAACTACCATTACAGCTACGGTGCACTGAGGGGTTCTGCTACCTTCCTGTATTTTAACATGGCTTTCATTTATAACACAGTGCAAGTAAATACGCAAAAAAATTACTCAGATACTTGTTTTTTCTTAGCTGCTATGGCTAGAACTGCATTTTCAATCAGCTATTAGACATTGTTATTGGCACCACTTACGTACCAGGCAGGGTTACCAAAACTAAATTTTTTTTGCAAAATATATAAGATTTTGCAAAATATTCATTTTACATTGCACCATTACCTCATACATGGAACGTGACATAGTTTACACTTGAGCTAATACACTGATGAGACCAAAAAAATCCCCCCTTGAATTTGACCATAGCTCATTACTTCTACATTGTCAGGCAACACAAAGCATTCTGCAAACTGAGCAACACATATGCAGAGTTCATTTATTTAAGCTTCCTATTGATTAACCATGCAATTCTGCAGCTTAGCTGCTCACCTGCCTTCTGTAAAAGTGCAAGACAGGATCCTGAATGACCTGACAGGAAAGGTTACATAAAATACACATTCAGTGTTTTCAAGGCAAAGCACTCCTTTAATTCACCAACGGCAAAGAGATATAAGTACATCTTTCTATTGTCTAATTTCAAAATATGTGGCTATTTGAGTGTCAAATTCTGCAGTGAATCAATCAAGTGACAACACAGCTAATGAAAATATCCACCCAATTCCTGTGGAAAAACCATTAAGTTCCTGCTTTGTAGCAATGTTATTAGAAATGAATAGTGACATGATTGCTCACTTGGTAAAATGGGGGTTCTTATTTTATAGTCTCTTTAAGAGATGCTGTGTTGAAACTTGTTTGAAGAGCAGAATTAGATAAATAGAGCAGCAAGTGGCCTTTTGCATGGAAGGATCAGTTGCAAGGAATACTTCTCATGAGATGAGCTGAGATGTGGCTAGCTAAGGAGAAAACAAATAAAGGAAAAGTGTGAGTTAATCTGTTTAATATAAAATAATGGCTATGATCAGTGGGGATAACAAACATTCCTACGTATGTTCTTTTCCTATACACCAGAACACAGAAAACTCACTTTGAAAAGAAAGAATAAATTGAAATCCAAAACAAATTAGCACATGAAAATCAGTGCAAAAGATACTTCGGAAACTAACATCTGAGTCAGATCTCTTCGCCATAATGTTCTAAGTTACAGTCTGTATCACTTCCCTCAACTAAAAATTACTCTTTTCTGATTTGCAGAGTGCCCCCTAAAGGCTGTACCATTAAAGATCTCAAGCAGGTAAATTGAGAGCCCTGAATGAGATTCTAGTAAAAAAGAATTAGATGCAGCAAGTCTCTAGAAGCAGAAGAATTTGGGTTTTTTTCCAGGAATAAAACCTCCAAGTGAAGTCATCTATAAAGAACTAAGCTGCTACCTCAGGTTCTCTATTAGATTTTGCCTGGGACAATTTAGAAATAGACCCCCAAAATGCAGATTTCATCTACTCACCTCAAGGAAGAAGTTGACCATGTATGGATCCTGTTTCAACTTTGCACAGACTATACAAAGAAACTGAATTTCTTCATTTTCTGTGGGTGTTGCCAGAACTTCACCACATAGCCTGATTAATTTCTGTTACATAAAGAAAAGCAAATCATTAACTTTAATTCAGACAAAAATGGAAAAAATACAAAGAGATGCCATTAACCCCAACACAACAAGAGAAACCTGTGATACAAAGCAATAATTCCTTAAAATTTGAACAGTACCTGCACGGGCCTATGCACATTTATATGGGGAAGCAGAGGCTGCTGTATTCTTCCTAGAAGTTTTGTATAAAAAGCCAAAACTTGCTGTTTCATTCCTGGAGGACACTGAAACAAAATCAGATGAATAGTATTAAAAAAAACGTAAAAACATGAAGGGAAATGATTATGTAAAAGTGTCTAAGACCAAATAGCAGTAATTTAATCAAAACTATTTTAAAACCTCATGTGTTAGCACATTACTTTTATCAATATTAATTGAGTTCACCAAAAAATGGTGCTTTTCATTAGCTGTCTGCTTTTTAAAATTTTCCATACTTTCCATTAATTACTCTAGCAGATCCTTTCAAGCCTTTCCAGGAAATACACCCTACCAATATAGGTAAATGTTAGGGGAAATTAACTCTGAATGAATTGGCTGTCGACAAACTGCTTTTTATGGTACTGTATCATTTTATACCATATTAACTTTTATCAAGAGTTCTCACAAAATCTAGCAATCCTGTTTGCAAGTACATACAAATAAACGCTGACAAACTCATTATTATAAAAACTCCAATGTCTACTGAGTTTTTTTTTTAATTCATGACCAATTCACCTCAGATAAAGTGTTTTTAAGCAGACACTGCTGTTCCAGGACACAAAGCAGCTGTCACTTACCTGAGCTCCAGCAGAATAAGCCACAGCTGTCTGTGGCTGAACATTTATGTCCATGTTCTACCCTCTCTCCTGCACTTGCCACATGAGAAGACTTTCTCACCTCTGCAAGGTCTGATGCACACGATTCTGCAGACATTAGCCTTGTTTCTGCCTAAATCCTCACCCAATCCTAATAGTTCTGACATTCTGAATAAATGCATATTCCAGAGGTAAGTTTTAATTCCCTGATCTGGTTTACTGCATGGGGTTACCTATAGATCTATCAACAGATACCAGGAACAAGAACTGCCTAACTTGGCTCTCCTGACAAGGCAACTATTCCTTGGGCTACAGCTAGCCTCAATATTGCTTGTCAAGTGATCTGTTAAAAAGAGAAAAATGTACCATTAGGGTGCATCTACAAGAAAATAATAAATCTAAGTCATTGTTGTAAAGGGAAATCATTCATTCTGCAACAGATTTTTGCAACATCTTGCAAGCACTGAACCCTAAGTTTACTTTAGATGTATCAACTCAAGTGGTAAAGTATAGAGACAGACTGCACAAAAACTGCTTATACAGGCATATTTGAGCACAAAACAACTTCTCTCAACCCTTAGAAACCTATTGCTAATTATTCCTTTCACATGTCTCTGCTCCAGCCCAATTTCTTGGTAAGAGTTTGCAGATTTACTGCCCCAGCTTTGCTTCCAAAAGAAGCGATTAGGACAATATCTCATGGTAGGAGAGCTGCTATCTCCATGGGAATATTAGAGGTCTGGTCCCTCCAGAGCAAGGAACATCCCAGGCTCAGGCAACTTGTATCCTACACTGTCTACATATCTAAAACCAAGTAGATGAAAAATTTATGACCGTATGTAAAAGACTGGCTGAAAAGGAAACCATGGAGAGCTCCATTTATCGTTTAATCACAGCATGATTTCCTTACTCCATCTGCATCACAGTACAGAAGTTCTAGCATGAAGGCTGATAGATTTATTCACCCCATGATCCAACCAATCCCTTACCTTTCAGCCTGTATGTCTGCCAAGACAGACATCAATAAAAACAAATAGAAAGGCTGTGAAGATGCTGTCCACAAGAATGCACCAAGACCTATTAAGCTAATTTCACCACAAAGCAGATGAGATCTGAACAAGATTGTCCTGGGTGGAGTTTATATAAAAGACCAAATAAAAAAGCAGCCTGAGCATTAGCTGAAATCAATTCTTCCTGATATGACAATCTTACTACATTCACAAAAACTAAAAAATATTTGTATTTAATATAGCTGTTTACTAAGAAACTCCGAACACTCTAAAAAACAAGGAGTAATATTACTATTCTGTAGAAGACAAGGAACTCAGCAGAAGTTTGAGATCTGGTACTGTCAGTGACTGTGAAAAGAGTAGGAAGATGTTTAATTCTAACTAGCACACTCGAGTTGTCTCATTTGGTAATAGGTCAGTAACAAGTAAAGGGTTATCTGCTGGAGTCCTGCAGCCTACCCTACCATTTCCTGCAGTGCTTCAGTCCCTATTACTATTAGGAGCTTGCCTCAAGGATAATTTGTTTAATGAGAAGTACATACATCAGCTTTCCCTAGCGTGTAGAGGGTCTCCAAAATCTTGTGGTGCAGCAAATATTCCATACACGGCCCCGTTTCACCCGATTCCCTCTCATTTTCTTCTTGAACTAGAATATCCAACATCTGTTCCAGGTGAGAAGGAATGTTGGTGTCTGTCACAGGAGCTTTGTCATCTAAATAGAACAAATGTGCAATTAAGAATGATAATATCTTACCCTTTTTTCTTAAAATCAATTATAAATTCAAGATTTAAAAACATGATCACTCATTCAAAGAATCTGATATATATAAGTAATAAAACAGTGATTAGGATGTTAACAAACAATATGTACATTGACAATTTAGGCACATGTTAAATCTATACAATTAAATATTAAGTATATACTGCATTTATCTCCTTCAAGTTTATATGAACGTATACAGGTACAAATTTTTAAGGGACACTGGTAGTTTTAGATGCCATGCTTAAGATATTATTTAGATAAAACTGTGAAGTATCTAATATTAATTTTAAGATGTCCTAAAATGGATTTGCTGAATCATTTCTCAAAATGTAAACTGGCATATACGTTAGGCAGCTATTTAACCTTATGATGATAAAAATGTGAAATACTGAATTACAAGACCTGTATTAATCACACAATCCAAAAGAAAAACTTCTGTAGACAAAAAGCAAATACAGGGAGAGAAAGGTTCCAGTCTTTGGTTGAGTATCCACCCTGTTTTGGTAATTTCTTTGCCTCTACACATAGTATGCTGGAATGTACAAATAACTTCTAAAATCAGATTAATTTGCAATTGATCAGTTCCTTTACAAGGCAGATAAATAAATAGCTTTTCTAACAGCAACAACAAAGTAATCCCAAACATTACACTTGTCATTCTTCGGATTTCTGTACTTTCTGCCTTAAGATATTGTGCTGTCAAACTTCATGAACAAGAGAGTCAGACTGATCTCTTCATACTGAAGTCATGAGACTGCTCTGAATTTATGCCACTGGCAGTGGGATCTTGTATTAACCCGAATGTTGCCAAGCAGCTGTGCAAGTGTAGAAATTTTGCTTTTTATTTTCCTCAGCTAAATTCTAATTGAACAAATATCTCACTAGGAAAATAGTTACTACTTACACAAGAATCTAAAAATAATCATTCCTTGCATGAAAATAGAAACAAGCTCACAAAAGAAAATAGCTGTATTAAGTGTCTTTAGACCCTGTTACAACCTCTAGATTGCTTACAGTGCTTGGGGGAGCTTCCTGGGCATAATATCCTGTTTGGGCTGGAAAATAATTCTGCTTCAAAGGTAGCACAGGCAAATCACCAGCTCTGAAGACTTCTGATAGGTTTTTTAGGGGGGATTTCATTGGTTGGAAGAGGCAAAGAAATTGGGAAATAGTGTTTTCTACAAGATCTAGCAAAGTGCGGGTGAGAGGTCAGCTTTTATTTTGCACCACATAATCACAGGTATCAGTTTTCCTCTACCACTCCGTCATTCCCACCTTAGGAAACATCACAGAGCGTTCCGAAAGCTGGTTATTTAGAACCAGGGGTCACGTTTCAGCCTGCAAGAGTAAATACTGACATACACCAAGTGTCCCAGACATGAACACAGGTTCAATGGCTACTCCAAAAGAAATGCAAAACTAGTAAGCTTGCGAAAAGCATGACTGTGTTCACTTATAAAACTACTAAATTGTTGCAAAAATTAGAAATTTTTGCACCAAAAATCTGAAAAAGAAAATAAATGATGCAAAACGATTAAGTTAACAGTAGGGACTACATATCTTTAGATGTCTGTTTAGATTAAACAGAATAGATGAAGACAGAAGTTGGGTCCAACATGAAAGCAGACAGTTCTTCACATTGTGCTCAGGACACAAGGCCTTCCTTCCATCATTGCTCCTGCCCAGTTTTTAAGGATGAATGGGGTTATACTTTTTGAACTATTATTATTGGCATTTTGATAGGAGAAATAATTCAAGTAGGACCATGCAGAACTTTTAAGTCTTTCAATACCACCAATACTTGGAATTCCAGCTTCCATAATGAAAAGAAAATAAAAATATTTTTCTTTTACCTGATGTCTCTATGTAGTAGTGGGTGATTGCTTTCCAGTGGTAAACAAAATCTTCTTGCAATGGGAGAGAAGGTGCAAGCTGTGGGAAAAAAAAAAAGAAAAAAGGAAGGAAATAAAGAGAACTAGTTAGCAATGACATAAACATATTTCTTCAGAGAGTAAAGTGAATTTTATCTTGCACTTGAATCAAAACTGCCAGCAGACCAGTGCTGTGATCTTACTCTATGTTCTTATACCTGTAAGAAGGGATCTACGCATTATCCACTGCAAGCATCACTGCTACTCATCTCTATGACCAGACAATCTCCTGGAAGCAATAAGAGCAACCGATGATAAAGGAAAGCTGTCCTATACATGAAGTTTTTATTCATTTAGATTTCAGAGTTTTATCCTTTAGGAAACACACCATGTTCTTTGCATCTGCTCTTGATGCCTTCTTCTCCCTTTTGACATGCACCCTTCTCCTCTGCTCCCTTGAACACTCTGCTTAGTTCCTCCTCACACACTTCCTGAGAAGACGGCTTTTTCTGCTATTAGCTACAACTTTTAAAGTAGATTTCTATTTCCTTCTTTCTGCAAAGCGGCACCAACCCCAGAGCTCACCAACCTGTTCCACTTCTTGTAACAAAGAAGTTTCTGAACCAAGAAGATTTAGCACTCGATGGTCAGCAGTGGGTTGCTGCCATCCAACAACATAAACAGACTGCACGAATGAAAGAGCCTCCCATCCAGGCCACTGAAAGTACTTGCTCCTGCCCCTCGAGCTTAGTACCTCCTTAGTACCTCGGGGCTCTATGGCCTGTTACTCCCCGTCAAAAGCTGAGGGGGCCGTGAGCATTTGACCACTCTGCTCTCCTGAACACCTTAAAAAGCTGAGAAGCACTGAATTTGTGAGAACAATAGGAAAAGATCTGCTAAAAACAGAAATCCCATAGTGAAAATTCCTACAGACAAAACAGACAAAAACAGAATAGGATCTGCTATTACTGTGGTCTAATGCTGCATGTTTGAGAGGGTTTTGCAAGCCTGGAGTCCCCAGCTGATTCTTGTGAACTCAGCCCTAAAATAAAAGATCATCCCTTGAGGGCAGATCAACAACAGGAGAACAGGGTCCCAGGGAGAACCAGGCAAGCCTGTGTGGAGGAATCAACAGGGAGCCACCCTTGGAAGAGCCGGGCTCCTGTCCTGCTGCACAAGCTCTCCTCGTCACTGACCTTTGCACACAGGACTTTGGAACGGCCGCCCAAAAAAGCTGCGGTGCTTGGTAACTATCTGCACGTCCTGCTGAAATGTGCCCTCGAATGCCACCCGGGCAGCCACCCTCACGCTGTTCATCCATTCCCCGGTACTCCATGGGCTCATTAAATCTTCCACATTTCCACAGCTGGCACAGAGTAACACAGCAGCTACCGAGGACTATCAGGTCACTGCGGACAATGCTGCTAAGTTTATCAGGCTGCTGCAATTCAGAAAAGTAACTGAAGAAATCAAAGAATGAGAACACGGATATTTTGTATTGTGTCACAGCTGCTAGAGCTGCATTTCAAGCAAGGTAATCATCATTTTGCATCTTTCTCCATTGAAAATGTACCGAAAGCTCAATTTTGATTCATGAGTGGCTCAGAGAGCACTCTGGACGAATACCAGGCTTTTCAGACCACATAGTTTTCACACTAACACATTATATATAATAATAAAAATCTATTCTTGACTGATGTGATTTTCCTCTCCCCTCCTGTTGACGTCATCTGTTTGGAGATGAGTTTAGTGCCTGAGCAGTGCCAGGAAAAGGATTTCACTTTTCACCACCATCAATAATTTATCTGCAGAGATAAAGCTGTGGGCAGGATGTTCTCCTGAGGGGCACTGCTAACAGAGGGGAAAAGGCAGCTCAGAGACAAGTCCTGCCCTTTTTAATTAAAACACTCTGCAATTTCACTGTTTTGTCTGACCTGAGAACTGCAAGACCTGTTGTGGCTCCGGCCTCCTGAGATCCTTGGCTCGCTGTCTCTAGAGCTCAGGATGTTGTTTTCAGACCTTTCCTATCCTGCTTTAAATAAAGCGTTTCCTTTGGCTTCACAAAAGGTTTAGTGTTTACAAAAAACAGTCAAAGAAAAGGGATGAAAAGAACGTGCTGAGGAGCCAGGATGTGATAAGGCAGCAACCTAAGGGCAAATCTTCTCACCTGCTCTCTCTCCCTCTTTCTACAAAGCTGACAAAAGGGGCCAGACTGATGTCCCAGGCTGAGGGAACACAAGCCAAGGGAAGTGCCTGGAGGCCAATGTGCCTGCACAGGAGTCCCGGAGCAGCCGACCCCGCTCTGCCCAGCCCCCTTGCCTGGTCACCGCAGTGCCCATCCCTGCAGCGTGTCTGGTTCCCACATTTCTCCTGCTTTTCCTGGGTGAGGACACCACGTGTTCTTGGCACACGTGTGTGCATGGGGACACAGGAGTTCAGGGGATCATGTGCCATGGGCACAAGAACTTGAGACTGGAGCCTGTTCATACTATGAGGAGGTTGGTGTGTTGGTAGCAAACATCAGGGCAGACACAAGTTCCCAAACAGTGGGTGCACTAATATAACTACATATATTTTTACTAATTTTGAGCTACTCATTCCTAATTTCCAAGTAAAGAATTCCACTAGGGAAAAAAAACCCACTAAATCTCAAAGACTGCAGTCTAGGCATAGATTTAATCAAATAGCTCAAAGTCACTGAACTCTGCTAGAAACAGCCCATCAGGGCAGGCACTAGTAACTTATTCCATCTGTTCCTTACTTGCAGCAGTCAAGGTTCCTGGGACTGAGCAAATGAGTGTCCTCACTTGCTAAACTTCTAACACACACTGCTGAAATAATCCTGGGTAACAACAGTCCTGATGGAACCTCACCCCTCCCAGGAAGGCTGCTCTTCTCAGGAGAACTACAGATCTCTGGTCAAAACCACAAGCTACTTATTATAAAATCTGTCTAAAACATTTCCATGTAGTTTCCAAAAAGAGATAGAATTTAGCTAGGGAAAGAAAAAATCAAGATCCAAGAAGCCTACAAACATACGCTCTTTAAGAAAACATCTTTATGTTTTTAAAAACATTCCGTTTTCCATTCATGATTTTCCAAGGTGCAACCCAGAGCCACAAGAATGAAGACAACAACTGAAGTTGGGGGTATCCCTCAGCATAATTTGGACAAGTTAACCAAGTAAAAGAAAACAGTGCATGAAAGATGAGTGGGTACTGGCTGCTCCTGTGCCGGAGGAAGCCGAGTCAAAGGGCAGTGCCCATCCAGCTCACTCCCCTCGCTGCTAACTGGAGCAAGGAAAAGCTACAACAGTCACTCCTGCTTCACTGTCTTGCTGCCTGGCGTGAACGTTTGCCCCAAGGGAAGGTCTGGAAAGGGACCAACACGGGATGGTCTGTTTTATTTCTCCAGCTGAGGAACAGAAGCACAGAGTCTAAAACAGCCATTGACTTCAAGCGTAAAGTGAAGGCTACATGTCTTTGCAAGCCATACATTACTGAATTTTATCCTCATGATTTCTAGGAATAGCACAAAGATAAAACAATCAGTAACGTGAGGTGATTGCATGAGCTAAAGCAGATTCAAGAAGAATAAATCTTGTTCTGGGCAGTTACACATTTAGGGATTTTGGAGCACTAATCTGTAACAAATGACTCTGCTTCTTTCAAAGTTCAGTTTTGCCTCAAAACACAAACAGAAAAGTAGTTTGTTTAGAACAACTCAGACACAAGCACAAGATGCACAATACAGTGACAGGCTTGTGCAGAGAGGTCCCACAGATGTAAACTCCTACATCTAATGACACTCCCAGGCATCACTAAATGATCTTGTGCAAACAATCTTGTTTGACAGCAAAATTTAAAGCAAGCCTTTATAAAATTCAAAGCAAACCACAAGTTCCAGCTTGAGATGTACAGCTCAAATTCATTTTGAAAAAGAAACAACCTTATGGAAGCCCAAAGCACCCACAAAAGCTCTTTAAACACCTAGTGACCTTTTTACACTAGTGATTTCCTCTAAGAAAAAAAGTAACCAAAGTAAGATAAAAAAGGGTAATTTGCAGCTTTATTATTATTACATGCTGCAATTTTTATCTTCCTAGGATTGCAACATTCGTGTGAAACTTTTGGAACTGAAGGATAGGAGAAACACACACCTAGAGCAAAACATCTCAGGGGTAAGCCAGAAACTGTCACATATTCACTAACATTAGCTCTATAAAACAATATTTGTACTGTGTTCTAAAGCAACCCAATGGAACGCAGACTGCATCCCCTCCAGCACTGCCACCAACCCACCCAGTGCAACTCAAGGGCACCTTTGTCCTTAGCTGGCTGCCCTGTAACTCCGTCCTACACTGGGACAATCGCTCTACCAGAGCAACGTGTCCCACAACACTGCTTATTCACCCAGAGGCCACTTCTTTTTTCCTGCAGAGACCTGGAAAAGACAAAAATACCTGAGATACCTTGTGTGAATCCTGCCAGTAAGTGGTCATAAAAGTTAGGATTCAACTATAATTAAAAAAGCTACAGAGAAAATCCACAATTGAGTAATTTTGGCAGATGAGAACAATTTATTCACAGCAGGAGAGGGTCTTAAAGGAAAGCAGCTGGTCCCTCATCACAGTCCTCTGAGGAAGGTGGTTATTTAAAGAGCACTTTCCCCAAAACAAACCTTTGGCACTCCACAGCTCTGAGTTGGCACAGCAAAGGTAAGATAAGAGGAGTGAACAACTATTATCTCATAACACGTAAGTTCTTATTACTTAAACAGATGTCTCAAGTCCTTTGCCTGCAGGCCTGAGGCAGGGCATGACATAAACAACGTGCAGGGGAAATGACAGGGCAAGAGGCCTCCCTAAACAGTTCTGATTAAAACTAGTCCTACCCAGGAAAGTGAAGTCTAGAGAAGTCCCCAGGTGTATTTAAGTGCCCAACTCCGCTAAAAGTTGTTCAGCTGCAAGTGAATCCCTGCAGGAATTAGGCACTCCGAACCTTTGGGAATTTAGATCTTAGTTACCCATTTGGTGGAAAATATTGTGAGCTGAGTCCACATGGGGCTCCCACAGCTAAACTCACTCTGCAGCAGAGTAACAGCAGTTCCAAATGATGCTCTCAATTCTCAAGGTTATTAAAACAGCATGCAGTGTGGATGGGAGCTTAAGTAATATTTACAATTTATACCAGTCTTCATTTTGCGGCTAGGCTAAATGGCCCATATACTTAAATAGAGAATGAGGAAATCAAAAGTCACGATCACCTCGAGAACTGATTAAAAGTTCCAATTTCTCAGTCCTGCATTTGAATTGTTAGGTTAGAAACATCCCAAAGATAAAACAAAACTCATTCTTAATATCCTGCTGCTTTTGTGATTCCTTGTTTTGTTTCTCACATGTGGTGCTCAATGTTTGTCTCAATCCTGTAAACACTATTTATCACAGCATTTACTGTCCAGAGGCTCCACCACAGTGAGGCAATTACAGGTCACCAAAATGGAGCAGGGACCAAAACAGAGCATGTCCGCCCACAGCAGTCCCTTGCAAAATGTCTTTTTTTTTTTTAATTAAAAAGATAGTCTAATCCCTATTTATATTTACTTTTATTCTTACCTATTCTGCTGATTTTTCCTATTTTTTTGTAGCTCTGAAATAAATGCATTTATTTTGTTTAGTTTTTGTGTATCCCCAGCTTCTACAAACACCTTCACACATCCAGAATTAGCATTCCTGAAAGAAGAACTTTCCTCCCATTCCCACATCCTTAGTCACCTGTTCCTATCCACAATACAGCACAGCCCCTGGACAGGGTTTCTTCAGCCAGGTGGCCGCTAATTTCCATTTATCCTCCCATAAAAGAGCTGTTGGTTAAAAGGCACCTGTGGCCACAGGCAGTTTGCAGGTAAATCATCCCACCCTTGTTTAAAAAATAATTTACTTTAAATTGCTGCTTTGCTGTTGCAGGAGCAATCTGGGCTGCAGAACATGTAATAAAGGCTGCATTTTAGCACCGGGACGGCCTCGCTGCCGCCTACAGAAGCGCAGGCATGGCAGAGCTCCGTGTGTGCTTGAACACCTGCAGCACCGAGGGCCACGACTATGAATTCGGGGTGCCCCTCGGCCGGGGCGCTCGCCGAGGCCCGCTCCGAGGAAGCTCTGCGCTTTCCCCTAACGCCTCCCCGCTCACCCCGTCCCCTCCAGGGCTCGCTTCAGCTCCCGGCCAGGCTGCTCCTCTGGCTCAGCCCCGGGGAGCCTCGGCACCACACACGGCTGGAGGCTACGGAGCCTCCGCCGGGCCCGAGCCCGGGAAAAGCGCGGCCGAAACCGGGCCGCGAGGAGCGGGGGCCGCTCGGGAGGCCCCGCGCGGCCCGGCCGCCTCCTGCCCGCGCCGGCC